TTTAAACTTTTTAAATGATAAAATGTGGGCTATCTGATATGCCCTATAAGCTGCATGATAAAAACATAAGAAGGAGTTGCATATTAGAGGTTACCATTGTAGCCCATTTGGTAATTAGTATCGAATTGATCCAAGGATCTCATCCAGCTGTTTCTTGAAAGAAGCTAGGCTACTGACAACATGACTAGGTAGCTTGTTCCATACTCCACACAGCTTTGTATAAGAAAAACATACAGTATGGGATGCTTCTCAAATCTGTATATCTTCCTTGCACATGGGCCATGCTAATCTTTTCTGTTTCATTCCAGTTTAAGTGTATGTGCTGCCAAGGTAAAATACTTCACCTTGTGTAAATCTTCATTGTCTGTGCCTGGCCAAGTGTACTAAGTCTGTATTTAATAATACTCCTCTTAGCCTGTAGATGAGAATAACAATTGACATGTTGGGTTATAGATTTCATTTAAACTGAGCCATTAAAATATGATTGTTTTTTTTTTAAGAAAAAAAATGGGTGTGGAAAAGTTGATTGGCAAAATATGTTTTGTTTAAAGCTTTTATTTTTTCTAGTTATGGTTCAGTGACTAAAGCTGTTATGATAGTGTTAAGGCTGACTGCTTTACCAATGTGTGCAAAAACAACCACAAATGTTTTATTTAAAAAGAATTCCAGCATTTATGAATTCAATAAAATGCGGCTGGATTTCAAGTAGGTCTTGTGCAGCTTCATGAAGTTCAAGTAGCTTGCTTCCTCCTTGAAATAATACATCTGTCACAACATTTTTTTTTCTGTGGATCATCAGTATTTCCTCAGATCTTTGTGTTTGACAGTGAGAGTAGGGAATCTAGCCAATTCATCACAGTGGTGTGTTTGGCTGTGTGTGTGGTGTGTGAGTTACAGTACTGACATTTAGCCACCTTGGACGACTTTGTCCATGTAGCAATTAACAAGCCTTGAAATGCAAAAGAATACTGTTGATGATAAAGGTCCATAACATTCAGGTTCAATTAATTTTTGCCCATACTTATTATATTGGAAAGAGGTTTACAGGCTAGATCTCACAGTCAGAAAGCACAAAAGGGTTTTTGGTGCCTGCTAAAAATTATTAAGCTTTGATCCAAGAAAACACAGGGGCACCAACTGAAGTACTACTTTATTCTCCTGTCTGCTGTCCTTTGTATACCCATACAGTTTTTTTTATTATATTATAATATAAAGACCACATTCAAGTGGTCTAAAAATAAGGTCAGTGATCTTAGATTATTCTTTATTGTCACACAAAAATAGTTGGTGGAATTTTCTTTCGGTACAGCAAAGAACACAGATGAGGCATACATACAACATATATAGTACAAATGTAAATAGGACAGAAGACAAACCAACATCGTCACATACATATCTTAATGGATAACTCAACAAAAAAACTCATTTTTTCATATATATATATTTTCCAAATATGTTTTTTCTCATGCTAAATTTTGCATTTGTAATTTTCTGATCTGGAAAAGAGCCCCTTGAAACCCACCCTCCTCCTATGAATGCCAAGAGAGAGACTGGCAGCGCCCATCAACATCAGAACAGGGTCTGGAGCACAGATGGGTGTCAGTCACAGAGCCAATGCCATTGTGGGATGTTCCACTTACTAAACCATTTCGCCCCTGTTTGAAGAGGGAAGGGGTCTCTCTTTTGGGATGGAAAAATATTCAGTAAACAAGAACTGTAATTAGAGATATGGGCACCAAACATTCCACCCTCATTTGTTTGCAATTAGTGGAAAATTCATCACATTTCACTTTACCACTATTCTTCTGAGATGGCTTGGTCAATAACACAGCTCACATACTGTTTGTGTTTGAAAGAGCATTTCTGTAACAGAAAACAGACACCACAACTGCACATGGAACAAAAACTAAATCAGTTGAGAAAAAAAGATTAAATGGTTTATGTAACTGCAATAGCTTTCCTCAGGTTTGCATATGGTATATGCTGGATTTATCCCACACAAGTTTACGTATCGACTGTACCTGTACAAAATATAGGAAGTAGAATGTAGTACAGGACATGTAAACAACAACTATGCTATTTGTTCACAAAGTTTAGTGCATTATCCTTGGCATATTTTGTTAAAAATATTGTTAAACTGATCCCTAAACCCGTATTCAGCGCACTGTATTGTTAATACATTTTCTATTAAGAGACTGCAGGACCAGGGACTCTGCACCCCTCTCCCAGGAAGCGCTGCACTGCCATGGGTTCACTGCCTAGGCCGAGCCTCAGTCAGTCTGTTGCTGGTCAAAGCTGGGGCCTCTTGATTAACTGCCTGTTTGACCACTGTGTCAGATCATATTTATCCTGCTGCTCCGGAATACTGACAAACCCCTTTCCAAACACCTCATGTCACTCCAAATTTATTGGACCAGATTCCTTCAAGTGTTAGTGGCTGTATAGCATGAACAGCTCTATTGTCTGGCTTTTTTGTTGTTTTGATTGTTCCTGTTTCTTTTCACTGTTGCTGCAGGTAGTGGCGCCTGTCTTACTCTTTCCTTCCAGGCTGTCTGTAGAGCATCAGCTCGCGCCCTTTACACAGGAAGTGGCTGTAGCTGTGTGGCTTTCCAGAGAGCCGCTGAGAGGACAGACTCCAGCCTGACATACATGACACATCTGATGTGAGGTCTTTAACCTTGGTCCTTGAACATCCCTAGATCATCTGGTTTTCATCCCAAATGAGATCATAATTATTTAATTGAGCGCTGCATTTGTTTAACTGGAACAATTTTAACCCTTTAACTAAGTCTGAAGCAATTGATGAGTGAGAGAAATCTATATAACTTACAAAGACAAGAATTCTACCTTGTTTGGCCTCACAGACAGCGAACATCACTGAGACATGTCAAGAACAAGACAATTGTACACAATGTTGAGCCACAGCTTTATGCAGTGAGTCCTTTGAACATTGATACATGTTGATATATGGATGTCCCTAGTAGCTTCAGACGAAAGTTTAATTAAATATGCAAAGGAACAAGTAAAGGTTTATTCAACGCTGAAAAGAGAAGAAAAGAGACACGTTTTTTTGGCTGTGGAGCCTTCTTCGGGTGTGGAACTTGAATTAATTAAATATGTTCTGCCTAGATGGGTATGATCTCCTTCTTTTTTGTGCGTCATATATTACTCAAAATAGACAAAACTTAATGTTCTGACCACTTCAGACAGCATACCTGCTGAAACCTGTGTGGCCTACATGCACATGCAGTGCTTCCATTTTCTGCATCATTCATTCGTCCATTGTCAGTAAACATTCAGTCGAGCACAGAAACATATACACTGCATATGAGGTGTATCCCCAATCTGGAACAGAGCTACATATTTACAAGTCAATTTCAGTGAGAAATTATTAATTCTCTCATTCAGACTTTTCATAAAAAAGACTCAAGGTTTCTTTTTTTTATTCTTTTCCTCAGTACATTGGAATAATTACAAACGTTTTAAATTCACAGCTTTCATCAGCATTCTGTAGTTGCAAAATGCTTTGTGGAGAAATAATCCTAAACTAAAAATGAATTACTCCAAAGAGAGTCATGTTGGATAGAAAACTTAAAGACTGCATTGCCAGTTGGACTAAATAAAGAATTAGACTTTATACTTTTTCTATGAAATGATTTATAAGAATGACCCTATGTTCAATAATCTAGTTTAATTTGTTTACTTGAAGGAAGATGGGGGCTCATCAGCTTGAATGATATTGGTAATGGTGTTATCAGCAAAAATTAATTGAGGATAAGGACTTTAATTTGATTTTTGCAACTCATTATGTTGTTAACGTAGAATTAGTAGGTAGCACAGATTTATTAGAAATATGGTAAATTAAATCCTTGTTTTTCTAAATGTACAGTTTAACTTCATTAAAGTAGCTAAATTGTTAAAAAATGTCATTTTGATAGATATAGACATAAAGATAACTAAGATCAATTCATTGTTGTTTAACAGGATGTGTCCCTTATCTTTACAATTCCAATGGGCTAAGACAAAAAACCTTTGAAAAGCTATGCAGAAAAATTCCTCTTAAGAAAAAGTCTTTTTTACAGAGACTCTGTAAAGACAACATTACAGAACTTTTGCCAAAACATTTTGTCTAACATAACCAGACCACTACCTTCTAGCTACCTTCTGTTTATAGATGTGTAGAGAGTAATTGATTGGGCTAAGCATAAATATCAATGAGCAGGAATAAAAATCAGTGAGGCATTAAACCTTTATAACACAAATTAAAGATAACTGGATGTAACTGTCACACATATCTTCTTTACAGTTATTGTCATTGCTCTGTGTAGTCTCAGAATGCTGAGTTAATAAAAGACTGCAGGAATCATTTATGTTTTGGGGAACCCCATAGGCCTGGATCTTTTCTTTTGTGGGAACTAAATAAGCTAAGGAAATGTTTACTGTTTTTTAGGAGAAAGTGCCTTTGCAATTCTTTTGGGAGAGAAAGTACAGGGCATCTGTCACTGAGGAATTGATGTGTTGTAGCAACATAAGTGACAGGATAAAAAAACTCTCAAGGTCCACCTAGGTGTTGCAAGTAATTTCTAACCTGGCTTTTTACGTTGCTGAGAGTGATGCATCCTACTCAAGTGTTATTTAGACTATTCATAGTTTAAGAACAACTAGAGTTGTTTGGTCAGATCCTAATAAATGCAATGAAAAGAAAACATGTATTAGAGGCTGTTTTGTGACTACGCTCCTCACTTTTCTGAGGAACGCACTAGGGTTTCAGGAGGATTACAAAGGGAAGCTCAGGGATTTGTTTATATACGTAGGATTGTGGAAGTGGGAGAGATTTGGATCCAAACTTCTGTTAAAAACTCAATTTAAATCCATGTTGAAAAGCAGAATGAAAGACAACTACTGCAGAATAAAACATTTTAACTACTGAGTCTTTTTTCAGGGGATTGAAAGAGAGAAGTTGCAGTAAATACTTGATAACCCTCCAATTTTCTATTGCAGATCTGTGCTGCTTATCCAGTTTTCCAATCTGAGGTCAGTCTCTTCCACCCCACAGCCACCCCACTTTCTACACAAGCCACTTAATCAAACAGCCCATGGAGCCACCCAGCTCTTCCACTTAGTTGTTACAATAATGACCAGGATTCTTTTCTTCAGTTTCTTTTTTATTAGTTATGTTTAAATGACAGGACACACAGCAGGAAAAAATATGTTTGATATTCATTGTGGAACTTGTGGTGGCAGCCAGAAAACAAATAGCACAGTGTTAGCCATTCCCAGGGTCTTTCTCCTGTTCTCCTGCAAACCCTCAGCATGTTCGCTACATTTCAGGACACTGTGCACTTTTCAACTTTTGAGCATTTCAGTACATTAATGGCTGTTATAGTTGAACCTTGAGGAATGATTAGTGTATGTTAATAGTTTATTTCACTCCCACAGCAGAAAGCATTACTGTAATGAAATAAAAACTGACTAGTATCAGCAAAGCAATGCATTTGCTGAAGTCCAATGTAAAAGTAACTTAATTTCAATTACTTTCTTGGACTTGACTATCTTGAATTACAACAGTGTGCACATGTTTCAGTATCTGTATTTGTATCTCCTATTCCCCTATTCTCCTCATGATTTTCATTGGTTATCTAAAAAGAGGTTTTAATCCATCTGTTCATTATACTAGCATTGAAGAGCTCTTTTCATGGCACACCAGTTAACAGTATAACTAAAAAAGCAGTCATGACACCCTGTATAATCATTCGTTTTCATCTGTGCTGTGCTGTCAAAGTAACAGACTTTTGGGGAGGAGGTGGCTATGCTCTGAAGAGACTAAATGCTGGATTACTGAAAACAGTAGCGGTAGTATTTTCATATTACGTGTTTACTATAAAAAAACATATGGAACACACTATTTCAATTTTTTCATAGCTTTTCTTTTTTGTTCAATTTTTGTATGTTACTCCATGTGCATTTTCATTTTCTTCTTTGGCTCAGTATTCATACCCTGCTTCTAGAGGCTCAAGTGGGAAGTGATAGTTTCTCATTTTACCACTGACAGATGTGCCAGAGCTGCACCAGCTTAAGGTAGGGAAAATGTGTAAGACTCCTTGTTAATTCGCAGTGTTACAGAATAATGTTACGTGTCTGTAGCTTATAGTACTGGTACCTAAAAAAACTGGCTTCAACATGTCTAGATTTGGCCCAGTTGTATATTTACATTCAAATGCAGTTACTTGTTTGCAATTCACAGTTTTGTAATGCTTTTTCTTTTTCTTTCTCTCTGACAACTGCAGCAGTCCAGAACCACAGTGAAGAAGAATTCTTACCTTTGTAGGTGCTCTATCTGATTTGGGATTGCTGATGTTTTGCATGACTGACCTTCATAAAAAAGTTTTTTTCCCCACATAATTTGCTTATTTTGGGGTTCCTCCAGCAGGGATGGCTTTATTTGATAGGGGGTGGGGGGGGGGTTTGGAGATCCTGTAACACAGGAGAAGCAAATATGGTTTGCATAAAAGAATTCAGCTCACATTAATCTGCCATAAATTCTCTCCACTTTTTTTTGCACTGAAAAAGTAGGTTTTCTTTCCTTTGCAGCTGTTAAGCAATTCTGAAAATCCCAAGCTAAAATAATAATCCTCCTGAAGAGAGAAAAATCTACAGAAAATACAATTAATCAATTAAATATGTAATAAGTCAATCCTAAACTAATATCACTAGAATAACCATCAGCTGTGCTCTTTCATAGATGTCTTTGTAGGTGTTTTTGGATTTGTTGCTAATAAAATATAAGACTGGAATTTATTCTCAACGAAGTCTAAGTGATGTAATTCTATAATAGCGCCATAGACATACTGTATGAATAGAGGCATATACAAAATGTGTGTGTCACATACTGTTCCAAAAATATTGCTAAAACTTTCCTTGTAATTTTAAATAAACTTTCTATAGCTGCATCACATTCTTGAATGTCTTTATTCCTGCTATGTTTGGGCACAGTTGTTCACCGGTGGTGTGTTTTTGAGGTTCAAAGGATATCGAGTGCATTCTATAATGGCTTGTGACTGAAGAAAAGAAACAGATTTGCATGCCCAGCATTAAAAAGTCACTGAAGTATGGGGTTGATGACTGGCAAGGTCAAACTTTATCAATCTGCAGCAGGTTTAAGTTGCTCCGTATTTAATGGGGGAAAGTGAAATCCTCGTTTGACACCAGGAAGCCCGACTTCTGCTGCTAGTTTTAATTTATTTTTCCATCTTCTGTAAGCAGCCCAGCAGCCGGCCAGATGGCACCAGTGCAATTGCTAGTAAGTTAATACATCTGGCTGGCTTCATTCCTAGAATGACAATTCTGATGGATATAACTCCAGCCTCCACACAAAGCACCTTTTCTCTGCTCTTACACTACATTCAGACACTCAGGCTAAGAAAGAAAACTTATTTACAAAAACTGGGCTCTCCTTCTGGGTTTCCATTTAGTCGCTTGTTATTACGGTCAGTTTAAGCAAGGATTGGGGATCTAGACAGTCTATATGAAAAGCACCATAATGAAGTGTCTAGCCACACAAACGAGTAATGGCCCCGGTTAATCTATATTTTCCTTGTTTAACAATGTCACAGACTTCGTTGAGCAAAATAATTCTGGACATATTTTAGCAATGCTTTACTTTAGGCTAAAAAAACACAGCCATTACGTCTTGATTAATTCCACACAACATGATAAAGAAACATAGCAAAATAAAATTTCACAAAAATACCAGGACCTGGATGCTGGTTGGTTTCAGCCTGCTTTGTTCCGATGATTGGATGTGTTACAGACAATTCCTCTCCGATAGTGCCTATTGTCCTACAGCAATCAGTGACTACGAGGACAGTGAGGAGATGGTCAGCTGAGGCTAATGATGCACTGAGGGACTGTTTTGGAACAACGGACTGGGGGTACTCTGTGAGCCTTATGGAGATGATATTGATGGTCATACCCACTGCATCACAGACTACATAAACTTCTCTGTTGAAAGTGCAGTGCCCACCAGGAGTACGCTGCTTCTCCAATAATAAACCATGGGTCCCCAGCAATTTAAATAGGAAAAATAGGGCTTTTCGGGCAGGTGACAAGGAGGAGTTGAGACGAGTGCAGAAAGAGATGAAGGTGAGAGTCAGGGAGAGCAAAGTGGCTTATGGGAAGAAATTGGAGGACAGGCTGATGGAGAACAATGTGAGAGAAGTGTGGAACGGCAGGAGGAAGATCTCCAGATACAAGCTGTCCTGTGGCCAACAGATTGAGGGAGGCCTGCAGAGGGCCAATGAATTTAATCTTTCCTTTAACAGATTCAATACAGAGTCCACTGACCATTCACCTCACGGGCCTTCATCCCAGACACCATCTTCATGTCCTCAGTCACCCCATCATGAGATCTCTCTTACTCCATCTTCCCCATCCCTCCTTGGCCTATCCATCACAGCTGACCAGGTCAGAAGGGAGGAGACTCCATGCAGGGAAGGCAGCGGGTCCTGATGGTGTCAGCTCCAGGGTGTTAAAGATCTACACAGACCAACTGGGTGGAGTGCTGCAGTACATCTTCAACCTGAGACTAGAAAGGGTTCCGGTGCTCTGGAAGACATCTTGCCTGGTGCCAGTACCCAAAAAGGGGTACCCTAAAGTCTTGAATGACTACAGACCAGTGGCACTGACATCACACCTGATGAAAACTCTGGAAAGGCTTGTACTGGACCACCTCAGAACCCTGGTACGCCTATCGGTCACACATGGGGGTGGAGGGCACAGTCATCTGCTACACAGAGATAACTCTCACCTGGAGAAGAGGGGGAGCACTTTGAGAGTTATGTTCTTTGATTTCTCCAGCACCTTTAACACGATCCATCCCCCATTACTGAGAGATAAGCTAAGGCTGGCACAGGTGAAAACTCCTTTGCTGTCCTTGATTATAGATGATCTGACCTGCAGGCCACGGTATGTACACGTTGTTAGCAGTACTGGGGCTCCACAGGGGACTGTCCTTGCTCCATTCCTGTTTACCTTTCACTCCTCTGACTTCTAGTACAACTCTGAGGCATGTCATCTGCAGAAGTATTTGGATAACTCTGCAATTGTGGGGTGTATTAGTGAGGGGAGGGAGGAGCTGATTACCAGCTTTATTACCATCTTTGTGGAGTGGTGTCATCTTAACCATCTCCAGCTAAACACCAGCAAGACCAAAGAAATGGTCATGGACTTTTGGAGGAAGAAGTCTCTGTTAACCCCTTTTCCATCCAGGGTGAGGACATAGAGGTAGTGCAGTCCTACAGGTACCTAGGGGTATACCTGGATGATAAGATGGAGTGGACTGTTAACACTGACACCCTGTACAAGAAAGGTCAGAGCCGACTCTATTTTCTTAGGAGGCTCAGGTCCTTTGGTGTATGTGGAACACCGCTACGCATTTTTATGAATCAAGGGTGGCAGTGGCCACTGGGGCAGCAGCTTCATGGCAAGAGATGTAAATAAACTCAATGAACTCATAAAGAAGGCTGGCTCTGTTTTGGATTGAGCCTTGACCCTTTGGAGATAGTGACAGAAAGGAGAATGTGAAGCCAGATGGGGATTATTAGGATTACCATGACTGGTAAAGGCAAGGGGAAATTTGGCCAGGATGGCAGGGTAACACCCCTACTCTTTTCGAGAAAAACCCTAGGATTTTAATGACAACAGATAGTCAGGACCTCAGTTTTATGTCTCATCCGAAGGACAGCACCTTTTTACAGTATAGTGTCCCTGTCAATATACTGGGGCATTAGGACCCGCACAGACAGCAGGGTGAGTGCCCCCTACTGGCCCCTCTAATACCTCTTTCAGCAGCAACCTTTGTTTTTCCCAGGAGGTCATCCAGGCACTGACTAGGTTCATACCTGCTTAGCATCAGTGGGTTGCCAGTTGTTGCAGGCTTAGAGCGCTAGTTTGTGCACTGCTTCAGGTCATATTTTTGGGGAAGTGGGACAAAAATGAAATTTTTTCAGCACTTCATTCATTCTCTTGTTTTCCATAATGCCATACAAATGTTATGCATTCTTTCCAAAACTGGTTCTCCACTTGCCTTGATCAGCTCTACTGGTACTATAGTGGAACTTGTTGCCTCCTATTGATTGTGACTCTGAGTGGGGTGTGGAGGGAGTTCCTACTCAAATAATTGTGTGCTTATCATCATCTCTTCTTTTTGTCTTACTACATATCTTTGCAATATTCCCACTAAACTGTGCTATTTGTTTCAGTTGCTTTGATGATTTCATCAGATCTTAAACTGATGTACCTGGGGTGTAGCAGGGGTCTCTGTTTAACAAATCATATTGTCTGAAAAAGTTCACACATGTTGTCTTTATTGTTTTAGCTTGAGTCAGATACAATCCAGGTGTCTTTTCTCAACACTTTCGTGACATTGTGTTTCTGTTTCAGCTCCCACTTTCCCTTAATCAAATTCACTTTCATATCAGGTATCCAGTTATTTCTGCCTTTCGCTTTTCATAAAACCTATTTTATATTTGGCTACCTCTCTTAGTACTGCTTTTGTCTCTCGCCACAGTTCATTTGTCATTTTCTCTTCCCCCACTCCATGAGGGACACCTCATGAGAACCAATAGACTTCCACAGCACAGGTGGTTCTGCGATCTCCACTTCTATCCATCCCAAATCCAGTTTCTAGAATGCAAATACTTTCTTTTTTTATCCACTCTTATCTTCAGAGTTGCCACGAGAAGCTCACGATTTGAGTCACAATCAGTTCCAGGGTTTGTTATGGTATATCTCCATTGCTGTAATAACGAGATGGAGACAGTTTCATTTCTTTTGTGTATGTCTTAACACTGAGCACTCTCGCTCATGTGTTCATCCACCGGCCATTGCCACTGTGTGATCCCCCACCTTTCTGATGATAGAAGATTCACTGCTGACCAAGTCTTCGCCAAAGCCTTCTTAGTTTTGGTGAAGCTAAGAATCCATCTCCTACAACACAGATCCGAGGATAGGTTTTTCAGGTCAGACCACTGTTACATCTGCAGAAAGTCCTTGTCAGCCATCAAAGTGTCTTCCATCATTTTCACCTCGCTTCGGCTCTTAGCTTTTGGCTGAAACCATCTTATTATGAAATGTTATGAATGATTGTCTGCATGTAATGTCATTTGTTCAAATGGTTGTAGAGGATTATGTATTTTGTTATATTGCGTTCTGTAGTGTTAATGAAGGAATATGACAGGGCTTTTTTAGTCATAGTCACATTGCCAATATTTTTGCACAATGCTTTTATTTTTACTAGTTTGTTGAGAGATTTGCAGGGAGGGCTTGCTCACTTTTGCAATCATCCTTCCAGGATGGTGGGATTTTCCGAAACAGACTG